GAGAACGGGCAGGAGCGGCTTCACTCATGTGCTAGTAGCAGTCGACAAGTTCACCAAATGGATTGAAGTTAAGCCTATCAAGAATCTTGATGCTTGCACTGCTATCAGTTTCATCAGAGAGTTGATATTCAGATATGGAGTTCCGCACAACATCATCACTGACAATGGGTCAAACTTCGATTTCAACAAATTCAGGGCCTTTTGCGCCTCTCAGGGCACACGAGTCGACTACACTTCGGTCGCTCACCCCCGGGCGAATGGACAAGCGGAAAGAGCAAACGGCTTAATTCTCAAAGGACTAAAACCTCGATTGATGCGCGATCTCAAGCACGCAGCAGGTGCATGGGTCAACGAGCTTCCATCGGTTCTTTGGGGATTGAGGACAACCCCGAACCGATCGACCGGAAGAGCTCCCTGTCCTTGCACCTTAAGCGGGCTGCAGCCTTTTGGAGACGTTGGGGGAAGATCAGGTTTTGCGTCTTGGGCGATGAGAACACCAAGAAGATGGCTGAGCTATTCAGGAGGTGGAAGAATGAGCTGAAATCATCGTTTATCGACCAAGACAAGACTCCAGAATTCATCGGCCGATTTGAGAAGATCAAAGATCAGTGGCCCGCATTTATCACCAAAAAGAAATCTGAGAGAGCAGCAAAGATGTCAGCGACAAACAAGAAAAATGCTGCAAAGAAGAAGCATCACCATCGCACGGGGTCAGATGGCTACTTGACAGCCCGGCCGTTGTGGGACAAGGCTGAGAATGACCTCATTGCTAAAGGGATCGAACCAGAGACGTGACGCTGGCCAGACCGTTGCAGGACTTGGTTCTTCGGGGTTGGGGGAAAATTGGACCCTGTAACAGGGAAGTGCATTTGGACCAACGAGCAGCTGAACACACCCATCGTGAAGCTTCAGGAGTATATCGAAAAGGCGCGACAAGGGACGTTCGTTCCGGACAGAGAGAACGACAAGCTCACAAAGGCCCTCGGGAATCCTGAGCATCCCGGACGGACACGAGGCACGCCAGTCTCCCTTTTGTGGAAGGCTGGATTTCCCGATGCAGGCGATTACAAACGCCGGGAGAGGAAGAAGAAAAAGGAGCTGACCCAACTACAGGCGCTGCACGCAAGGGTACAAGCGCTAGAGGAACGAGACGAGGCCCGCAACGCGCGACCTGCCGAAGCTGCTACACCCGAAGCTACCCCGCCATCTCAGCGAAGAAGCAGCGTGGCTTCCACGGAGCTGCTTCAGGAGCCTGTCTTCACGGCTCCTGCTAGCTACCCCGTGGACTTAATCACGGAGTCTCACAATTGCCATCTTATGATGCAATGGATGAATATGAAAGTCAAGGCGGCTGTTGGCTCTATTGCACGTCCTGAACCTGGCGCAACTTTTCTCTGTCGGCCGATTCCAGAAGGATATGCTAGGGTGATGGTTGATGAAATCACAGAAGGATTTGGGGACCTCCAGCTTGACCACCCTATGGGTGACGGGGAGACTCGGCTGGGTTCTGCTCTGAAGACTCCATGCCTATGGTGGAAGGAGCTCATCAATCTTCCGAACTGGACACCTCCGCCTCCTCCTCCTCCGGCGAGTCAGGGCACTCCACCTCCTCCACCGCCTCCTCCTTCGGCGAGTGATCAGGGCACTCAGCCTCCTTCTCCGGCGTGTGGCGGCACTCCGCCTCCTTCTCGGCCTGCGTCGGCGCGCCCGAGCAGCCACCAGCCTCCTTCTCCGGCGTGTGGCGGCACTCCGCCTTCTTCTCCGCCTACATCGGCGCGCCCGAGCAGCAACCAGCCTCATCCTTCTCCGCCTCTCCAGCAAAGGCGGAAGAGACCCGCCGCCGCCCCGGCTGCTCCGGCGCGTCATAGTCCTTCTCCTCCGCCTCGTAAGCAAGCACAAAAGAAGACAGTCGCAGCCGCTCCGTCTGCTCCGGCGTCTAGCAGTACAGCCATAGGCAGGCAATACAGATTCGGTCCACCTCTCAAGCCTCTAGAGAAGTTACCATACAAGAGGACCATGTAAGAAAAGGCGAAGATCGTGGAAAAAGAAGTGAATGACTTCTTTGAAGGGGTGAAAGCAAAGAGACATCCACCTCCGGAGGAGAAGGTAGACCGGGTGAAAGCAAAGCGCACACTCGATGCCCTGAGGAAACCACCAAAGTCTCCGCCGAAAACCAACTATGAGTGCATTACTGCAAAGGTATATATCGAAGCGGAGCGGTCGGGAAATACTATCAGTGATCGAAGGTTAGCAAAACGATGAGTTGGGAAAAATATTGCCCAGCTCGGCGAACAAGCGGACCAATCATGCCCCCCGCTCAAGGTGTCTAGCGATATCGTCGCTAATGATCCTGGGATGGTGCCCGGTTATAACAATCTTGAAGATTACCTGCCCGACGGTGTACATTATGATTTCTTGGAGGTGGAAGAACACCAATACCATTACGGGAAGCCTCTTGTCAAAGATGAAAAATCTCTAACAACGATGATGCAAAAATTCCATGATTGGTACATGGAAACCTGCAGAGAGTCTGGGGGGACGAATACTTTGTATCTGAGAGTTAAAGAGGAGCACGACCTCGTTAGAATTGATTTGTTGATTGTTCCATTTGAGGAGTTCTTCCAGTGGTTCAATCAAAAGGCCCTCAATAAATTAACGGTCACTTGCTACTGTCTGTAAGTACTACTTCTGTCATTAAGTATCTATATATAGCTCAGCTCTTTCATTGCATGTATATATGATTATCCTCACTATATTATGCAGATTGAAGATCGTTGAGTGCAGAAAAGCAGAAATGTATGATATTGGATTCATTAACCCAAATCTCATAGATAAATTTGAGGTTGAAAAGAACGCCAATGATGCTGAGGCCAACTTGCTCAAATCATTGATAGTAAATCAAAACAAAGATAAAATACTCTTTCCTTACAACTTCAAGTGAGTGTTACTGTCTTGTGCATATTCGGTTTCCCTTATTACTCAAGCGAGGTTATAGTAATGTAATTGATGAGTTATGCATGCGTGCGCAACTTTTACTATATTCGCCTGGAGATTAAGCTTGAGCAGGGACTAGTAATCGTCTTAGACTCGAGACGAAAATCTCCAGAGACCTATGCAGACATGACTAAAATGTTCGAGAAGTAAGTTCAATCGATCATTATCGCACCATATCGGCAACTTTTTGTTCATTTCCTAATATCAAGTAATTGTTTTCTTTGTCTCGCAGGGTTTGGAAAGTATTCACCGCACAAGCTTCGGGACTGCCGGGGGAGCTACGATGGACATACCCGAAAGTAAGTAGTACTAGCTAGCTAGTTCCGCGCATCTCGATCCCGTTGATTCTACCTACTTTCATCAATGCCATTTATAATCTTTCATTATCAATTTGATTGACTTCTATTTCTCGTAAAGTGCTTGTGGTAGGAATAAGGGAATGATTTCTGTGGATACTACGTGTGCGAGTTCATCTACAACGCGACTTGCAAAGATAAGCGGGGCTACTCTAAAAGACAATTTCATGTGCGTAAGATATAATATTCACAATTTCATTTTATTACACCATCATTTCTGTTGAGTTTCATTCATATATATGTATTAACCTCCTTCTTCAAATTAGACGTGGGAGATGCGGAATGAACTCCTACCAGAAGATCGCATGAAAGCAATTCAAGAGGAATTAGCGGGATTCTTTCTTGACCACATCATCAATAAAGCCAGAGAATACTATGTGGACCCTGAGTTCATATTTAGTTAGGGCATTATATTGTAAGAGATCTTATATTGTATATATGTAGCCAGTAGCGCCAGATAGATATACAAAAACTTGTTGTTCGACCAATCTCTCGGAGAAGGAGAGGTCGATCACTTCTCTCATTATGCATGACGAACTTCTGTACTTAATGGTTTCCTTCATTTTCTTACTAGCTAGCGTGTCGATGGCCTCTCTATACGTATAGTACGTAGCGTCGACTAAGCACGGAGATAAGAGAGGACACTTTTCTCTATTAATTAATTAGCTACCTAACATAATATATGAAACACCTTAATTAACCATACAAAACCCCCAAATCCACCCCCTTTTAGAAAAAAACAAAAACCCTAACCCCTGAATAGCTGACGCGTGGATGCTTATTGGTCCCGGTTGGTGCCACCAACCGGGACTAAATGCACTCCTGCCTGGACTCGCCACAGCGGCCACGTGGAGGCCCATCTGTCCCGGTTCGTATAAGAACCAGGATAAAAGCCAAGGGCATTAGTAACGACCCTTTAGTCCCGGTTCCGCAACCGGGACAGATGGACCTTATGAACCAGGACAAATGGCCATTTTTCTATTAGTGAAATAACCAGTCCCTGATGTTTGGATTCACATCGAGGCTCATAGTTTTTCTCCAAAAAAAGGTGGAGAGGTTAGTAAAATAGCCCAGCCAACGGGTCGACGTCCCGTCCTTCATAGAGAGATTAGTTAAAGAAGGAATTGTTTTTGCTCAAAAAAAAAGTTAAGGAAACGTAGCTTGTACGTAGGTGTAACATTTTTGCTACTCCATTATCGTTTCGCGATCATCTAATATACATCGTCCCTTTCGCCGGAGAGAAGAGAGGAACAGACTTCCAAAAATGCTACGGTACAGCCAAACGAAACAGCAGCGGCGCAAACATATCAACCATTTATTTCACCATCATCAAATGAGTCTGCCCACGCAACGCGCAAATGCGGAAAGCTCTGTACAATACTCCCTCCATTCTATAATGTAATGCTTCTTTTATCCTCGTGCTTCAACTTTAACCGTAAATTTAACCAGCAAGACCGATTGCGGCGGGAGTAAAAATTATATCAGTGAATTCGTATTCAAAAGAAGTTTTCAACTATATAATTTTTTTCTCCCGTCGCAGTTGGTCTCGTTGGTTAAATTTATGGTTAAAATTGAATTTTGGAAAGCGCGGGCGCACTATATTTTGAAATGGAAGGAATAGCTCACACACTTCATTCCATTCCATGTCCATCACTTGGAGCTGGAGCCATACTTGGCGACGAACGCGGCAATGTTCCGGTCGGAGCTGCCGCCCTCCCGGCTGGCCGCCCGTGCCTTCTCCGCCCACGCGGCGGCGTTCCTCCTGTACTCGCCGCTCCGCTCGCCGGCCATCACCGCCTCGATCCCGCCCGCCACCTCCCCCCTCCGCGCGAGCCCGTCCTGGGCCGCGGGGCGCACGCGCACGCCCGCCCGCCACACGGCCTCCACGTACTTGGCGTTCATCGGCTGGTCCGTCCACTGCGGCAGCGCCACCATCGGCACGCCGGCCACCAGCGCCTCCGACGTCGAGTTCCACCCGCAGTGCGTCAGGAAGCACCCCACCGCCTGGTGCGCCAGCACCTCCAGCTGCGGGCACCACGACACCACCATCCCGCCGCGCGCCGCCACGGCGTCGCCGTAGCCGGCGGGCAGCTTGTGGCTCTCCGACTCGCGCACGGCCCAGAGGAACGGGCGGCCGGCGTCCAGGAGGCCGTGCGCCACCTCGCGCATCTCCGCCGGGTCCAGGTTCGACAGGCTGCCGAAGGAGGCGAACACCACGGAGCGCGCCGGGTGCGTTGACAGCCAGGACACGCAGGGCGCGGCCGTGAGCTCGAAGAGGTGGAAGCCGTACTTGGTGTCCGAGGGCATGCGGTCGTCGTGCACGTAGGACGCCGGCACCGTCGGCCCGATCGTCTTGGCGCGCCACGCCGACGCCATGTACGCCGCCTCCTGCACTCCCAGTCAGTTGCACGTTAACGTCAGTGCTCCTCTCCTCGGCAGAAAATTACACGAACGAATTCGAATTTAGTACTACTGCTTGCTGACTTTTGAGCATCCAGATAAGATAGCAACCAGTATTTTCATATTAAAATAGGACGAACGTGTTGCGTTCTACGTACTTCTATCGGAAAGAATGTATGAGTGGAACAGTGCAAGATTTGTTTCTGACGATCGAAGATTTTGTTGCACCAACCAGAGACTGATGGAGTAGAGAGCTCACCTCGGGCTCGAGCTCGTAGAAAGAGTTGACGAGCACGTCGTCGGCCAGCTCCAGCCCCTTGAACTGGCTCATCACCATCTCGAAGTAGCCCGGGTAGGGGCCGGGCCCGACCTTGAGGAACCACGGCAAGCCCTCCGGCTCGAGCGCCGGCAGCCCAGGCAGGCCGACGACGGTGGATCCAGCCTCCACGGGCACGCCGACCCGCTCGCACCACACGTGGCCGTACACCACGTTGACGGCGCACGGCTGGGTGAAGAAGGCCACGGCGGCGGCGCCGTGCCGCTGCGCCACGCCGCGCGCCCACGGCAGGAACGCGTCGTAGACCACCGCCCGGACGGGGCGCCCCTCCGCGGCCTCGGCGTCTAGGAGCTCCCCCAGCGTTTCCGAACCCGCGGCCTCCAGGAGCCCCAGGTAGGCCGTGACGTCGTTGCACTCGCCGAACCCGCCCGCGTCGCAGCCGTCGGATACGGCGGCCAGGCGGACCGCGCCGACCGCGGCGGCGTCGGGCTTGCATGTGGCGAGGATGTAGCGGGAGACGGCGAGCGTGGGGCGCATGCCGTGGTGCGCGAGGCGCTTGGCGAACTGCAGCATCGGGTGGACGTGGCCTTGGCTTGGGTACGGCAGGAGCAGCACGTAGCCCCCGCCTCTGCCGTCGGCGCCGGCGACGACTTGTTGCGTGTCCTTGCCGTGAGAAGCCATGACTAAGCTAGCTGCGCGTTGCACGTAGCTGTCTGTGTCTTATCGGAGGTTCAGAGCACAGAAGTAGCTAATGTACTCGATAAGGTATATGTATGAATGGCACGACGCGGGAGGAGGCAAATGTGCTGTCGTATGTAGGGAACCAGCCTGTTGTTGCACGGTTAAAAGAACAATGGTATTTTTTGTCCACCAGTGTTCATGTCCTAGACTTGACATTGGTGTCCGTATTATTTCTGTATTTATTTCAATCTTCCGGCGATGTTTTTTCAGTAGAAGAAGATGTTTCCATTGACACGCGTGTGTAATGTCTTTATAAAATCTTAAGATGTTAAGCCGGCTCAGTCTTTCGAAGATGTTTATAAAAATAGAGTATGCATATAAATAGGAAGGTTTTCTGAGGGCATAGAGTGTGCATATGAATAGGAATGAGCGTGACTCGGGTATGTGAGCAATAATTGTACTGTGTTCAACAAATGGGTATGTATATGGATCGACAGCTACGGCATGTATTAACAAACGGCGAGAGTGACGCGGAATGAAAGGATCAGCAGCTAGCTGCACGACGCTACTTGAGTTTGACTTTTGGTGAAGCCCCGTGCTGCACGACGGGCCGGGCGAGCTGCCGGAGTGCTCGCGAGGCCCCTGATTGGTCGCACGCCGGCATCTGCGGGTCGTCGGCGCGCGGCACGCGCTGGAGTTTTCTTTTGCCCGCGGGCGGTTGCTTCTGATGTTGCGCCGGATCACTGGCGACGGCTGCTAGCCGGCGATTGGTTGCATGATGAGGTGGGAGTGCGCTGACCACCGAGCTACGGGCGGTGGTGATATGGAAAGGCAGGAAGAAGATAAGATCGGACAACGCTGTAAGAGCAACTGCAACAGCATCTCTCAAATGTTTGGATAGACCGTTCGGTCGTTGCCCCGTCATAAAATTTGGTCCTAGACAAGCCTCTCAAATGACCCTCAAATGCCCGGGCTGACCGGCACCCTCATATCCAGCCTAAAAATGAGGCGGATATGAGGCGCCCGGGCACGCTCATCAAGTCGGACCCGACCCGTACTGGTCCACCGGACCCCACTTATGTCCGTCTTCATCCTCTCGCCGGAGCAGACCCTATCCACTTCATTTCACTCCCCTCCACCATCCGAGCTCATCTCCGGCGGTTTGCGACATTCTCCGCCATGGCAGGCAGTGCATCGGACTCCGACCAGTTCAGATTCGTCGACTGGGGTGTCGTCCCGTGTGGGTTGGAGGAGGCAATGACAGTCCGCATTGCACTCCGCCGCTCCCGGGAGGACAGCGCCCGACCGACGAATGGATCCGTCCGCCGTGACACCATAGCGTCGACTGGATTATGTATAACTGAGGGTTGGAGGGGTCCGGCACATTCTATGTAACTCTCACGCATAATCCAGTCGACCAAGCCTCCGGTCACCGAGACGTAGGGCTTTTACTTCCTCCGAGAAGGGTCTGAACTCGTAAATCTTGCATGCACAACCTCGCCGTAGTTAGGATCTTGCCTCCTCTTACGTACCCCCTACCTTACTGTCAGACTTACTCCCACGATAGACAGTTCCGGCGACGAGCAAATTCGGCTTGATCCGTACTGCGTCTTCGACCGGTACTTCCACGAGAAGGACGGCAAGGGCGCCGGGAAGAGCAAGGGCAGGCGTGGATGAACTCCACCATAGCCAAACATGCCAAATTTTGATAGTCCGATGGCATGTTTAGTGCAGTGTGATGGAGTAGCCGGCCGATGCGTGTGTGTCGACGTAGTTGCATGAGTTTGTATGGATTTGAGATATGGTAATTGAGGTGTCCGAATGTGGATTGCATTTTTTCAGGAGTGCCCGATGGCACGTCTGCGGGTGTTTGAGGGGCCGGATTTGTCAAGTCCGGTTGTAGATGCTCTAACAAACTCTTAGTTGATATTCATGAGATCTTACATGTAAATCTTTATAATATTTTTAAAATTTCTGTTTCCTCATTTTATATGTTCTGTCACTTGATCCGAAATTTTGTGATGTCTCAGTCAGCTGGGATCTAGCCACGCATTATCAGAATTGTTATTTTTACATCTATGCAAGGGTTCAACGGCGTTGACTGCAGCTCTAGAGTGTTTCCCATAGGGGCACGTGCACTAAGAATTCCCGGCTGTCATCAACATGGTCAATCGGGCTCCGGTAGGGATTCTGCGACATTGGTGCGGCGGTGGTTCGTTTTGGCGGCAATAGTGGTTGTCCGAGAGTCTTGAAATCTCAATGTATTTTTTTATTATGTTCAAGATGCTTTGTACTTCTGCTGAGCTTTGATAATAGATCTGGATCATTTTCGTAAAAAAATATTTAAAATTAGTCTTGCTAAGTCTCAATCGATGCTATATTCATAATATCTTACATTGAGATTCATGCAAAAAAAAATTCTCTCTTGCGTGTTATGTCACTTGACGGGACTTGGTTAAATCTCGATTGACTTTGACCTAGCCATACCCATGTGAAATACTTACCTCACATCTAAGTCTACCACCGTCCGATTCCCTCAAAAAAAAGTCTACCACCGTCCGATGTTTGTTGTGTGTAAAATTCACGCCAGGCTTGATTAGGCTAGCTCGTGGTTGTGCAGCATCGCGTTGTCGTGCCAGTCATGCCTTTTCTGTTCTTCGCCGGGGGGGTCCTCTTCCTCTCACCGTCCCCTGTTCTTCCATTTTCGTGCGACAATGGCGATTCCAAATGAGAGGTGACAGATCTAGTGGACTCGAGGTGACGGGTCTGGCAGGGAACAACGACAGATTAAGTCCTCCCTTCGTTTTTCTCGCGCGAGACGCATGGCCGACACCGCGGCGGCGTCGGGCATGCAGGTGGCGAGGATGTAGCAGGAGACGACGAGCGTGGGGCACAGGCCGTGGTGCGTGAGGTGCTTGGCGAACTGCAACATAGGGTGGATGAGGCCCTGGCTCGGGTATGGCAGGAGCAGCACGTGGCCCCTGCCCTCTGCCGTGGGTGCCAACGACGACTTCTTGCGTGTACTTAAACCTGATCACCAGGGCGGGCCTTCTTCGGGCTATGCTTGTCAAAAGCAAAAGCAAAAATCTCAAGCTCGGGCCCGGTCCAAAACACATGAACAGTGCATTTTAATTGAAATAATATTATTTAGGATATTAAAATAATCAAATATACCTATATTTCAAATAAAATATCTACTTATAGCCATTTCAAGCTTTTTTGGGCTTTTGGGCCAGGTTTCGGGCCAGAAAATGGAGCTCGTGCCCGGCCTAATGCCGGGCTTTCGGGCTCGGGCCTTCGAGCCGGTCTGTCCATGCAAAGGTCTACGTGTCCTTGTCCTGGGAAGCCATGGCTACTTACAGGTAAGCTAGCCGCGTGTTGCACGTAACTGTCTATACCTTATCAAAGGCTCATAGCACAGGAGTAGTCCTTTCGTTCTATTCCCTCGATTTCAAATTACTCGTCGCAGAAATGGATGTATCTAGAACTAAAATACATCTAGATACATCCATATCTGTGACAAGTAATTCGGAACGGAGAGAGTATAATATAGTGCATATAGATTATTTAAAAATTCAAACTTTAGAAACTTTAATCAAATTTATGAAGAAAATTGTTTATATCTACAATACCAAATATACAAAACATAAAATTATATCTTATGATGAATCTAATGAAATATATTTGGCATCCTGGATTCTTCACAAACTTGATAAAAAATTATGAGCTTTGACTTTTTAAACAATCTACACACTACATTATGAGACAGAGAGAGTATACATGACACTGTAGCCGCTGCCGTGTTGGTCCGCACAATCACGACGCCGGAGGAGGCAAATGTGCTGTCGTATGTATATGGACGAGAGCTACGGGATGTATTAACAAATGTGCTCCACGAGACTACTTTTTTTTTAGCATCAGTACAGACACAAGCGCTCATATACACGCGCATACATTCATCTGTATGAACACACACACGCACACCCTATCCCTATGAGCACCTTCGATAGACTGAGTCGGCATATCATCTTGAGATTTACGAAGTCACCGTAGGCGCCTCGTCGTCGACGGGAACGTCTCCTCCCACTGAAAGCGCATCGCCGGAAATCTTGAAATAAATCCAGGAATAATGCGAGCACCAGGATTTGAACCCTGGTGGGTTGATGATACCACTGTCCACCTAACCATCTCAACCACAGGTTGATTCGCGCTCCACGAGACTACTTGAGTTTGACTTTTTGTTGAAGCCCAGTGCTGCACGCCGGGCCGGGCGAGCTGCCGGAGTGCGGGCGAGGCCCTAATTGGTCGCACGTCGGCATCGACAGGTCGTCGGCGCTGCGCGCGTGCTGGAGTTTTCTTTTGTGCGTGCGCAGTTGCTTGTGAATGTCGATTGTCTTTTTTTTCTATACCTTCATAACTTTATTCTTTTTTATGACTAAAAATTATAATGAAATTTCTTGAAAACATCTACTTCGCGGTATCAATCCTTGCTTTAGAAATACTCCAAAGACTTAGGTAAAAAGGCTGCAATTGAATTAGAGCAATGATGTTGTCACTCTTTCACCCGCACAAACATTATCAATAATGGTTTTGAAAGGATCTTGAGTCGCCCATCCGAAAAGATAAAAAGCCTTGATCGATGAATGTACTTGGGCCGGGGATGATCCCCGCCGAATCACTATACCTTTACCATGGTGTCGATGAAAGATTTCACCTTCACGAATAATCAAACCAATAAAAAAGCTTGACACAAACATACACTCATCAGATTTGAATGGTTAGGTCTGTGAGGACGGAAAACTCTCTAATCCCGTGACACCGCCAAAAGAATGAGAGTAAATTTATTCACACAAAACTATGATGATCACTAGATGTTGACGAAGAACATAGAAATCTTAAAGATCCGAGATCCCGCCACCTCTGAGCACCAAGATGGCAGCCGGAGGCGACGGGACTTAGATATCTCAGATGGCGGCGACGATAGTGGCACGAGAAACCCT